CCCAGGTTGCTCCAAGCCCTTTCCAGCTCGGCTTGAAAAGATGCAAAGTCACCTCAGATAGAAGCAGGGGCAGCAACTGATTGGTGGCACTCTGGGTTCTGTGGGAATGTCCCCTCTGACGTCCCTGTTCCCCTTGTTTTCCAGGAGAAGACGAGAAACTTGCTGCTTCTTTGCTCGACGGGAAGTTTCCCCGGAGCACATCCATGCAAGACACTGTTAGGGAAGGACACGGGATTCCACCGCCACCCCAGACAGCCCCACCTCCGCCTCCTTCTCCCTATTACTTCGACACGGGCCCCCCTCCATCCTTCTCGCCGCCCCCACCCCCAGGGAGAGCTTACGACACCATCAGATCAAGCTTTAAGCCCAGCCTGGAGGCCAAACTGCACGGCCTCCCGCAGGTCATCAGCGCAGCCGAGATGTACGACCAGGCCAGGACTTCCATCCCTTACCCCGAGCGGCAGAAGAGGGCTCGATCCATGATAATCCTCCAGGATTCCTCCCATCTCCCCGTGGAGCCCACGGAGATCCCCCGGCCCGGCCCGTCCGCCACCCCCCCGGAGAAGCTGAAGCGGAAGGGGAGGGTCATCGACAACCCCTACGCCAACATGGGGCAGTTCAACGTGAGCCTGTTCGCGCCCACCAAGCCGCAGAGGAAGAAGAGCCCCCTGGTGAAGCAGCTGCAGGTGGAGGACGCGCAGGAGCGGGCGGCGCTGGCCATCACCGGGGGCTTCAGCAGGGAGCCCTCGCCCACCCGCCGGGGCCACCGCCTGGGCGGGGTGGAGTACCAGCACCACGCCGGCATCGCTCAGGTCGAAGCCACGAGCATCCCCTTCGCCACTGCCATCGCTGGCGTCATGAAGGACCGAGACCGTCGCCTGGATGAGAGGCGGAAATCCACTGTCTTCCTCTCGGTCGGGGCCATCGAGGGGACGCCCCCCCCGCCCAGCGAGATGCCGTCCCTGCAGCAGTCCAGGTCCATCGATGAGCGGTTGTTAGGAAGCCGAGATGTTCTACTGCCTTCCCCCGTCTCAGCTTTAAAGCCATTAATTAGCAGCTCATCCTCGACGTTCATCCACCCCCTCACGGGAAAGCCCCTGGATCCGAACTCCCCACTGGCGCTTGCGCTGGCCGCAAGGGAACGGGCCCTCTCCACCCAAGTCCCATCCCGGTCGCCCACCCCGATCCACAGCCCCGACTCGGACAGAGCAGCACCCCTGTTTGTGGACATCCAAACCAAAGAACCAGAGAGGGGCGACTTGGAGAGCTTGGTGTCCCCCGCGTACTCCCCCGGAGGCAAAGCAGTGATCGGAGCGATCGGAGCAGACTCTGGGACTTTGGCCCCCGCCAAGAGCCCGTGGGGGACTCCGTCCACACTGAGGAAAGAGACCGAGGCCCGAGCGGAGACGCCGGGGAAGGAGGAGAAGAAACCGGAGGACAAGAAGTCCATGATCATCAGCATCGTGGACACGTCGCAGCAGAAGACCGCCGGCCTCATCATGGTCCACGCCACCAGTAATGGCCAAGACGAGATAGGACTTGAGATAAAAGAGGAGACCCCGGCCGTCCCCGAAGCTTGCACGGAGCCGGCCGAGTCCCCCAAGGCAGAGCCCCAGCCCAGCCCCGTGGGGAAGCCCCCGGTCAGTCCCGCCGCCGACAAGACGCTGGGCCAGGGGAGCTCGGAGGAGGAGGTGGAGCCCTACACGGTCACGCTCCCGCCGGCCCAGCTGTCCTCGAGCGACGAGGAGACCAGGGAGGAGCTGGCCAAGATAGGGCTGGTGCCCCCGCCCGACGAGTTTGCGAACGGGGTCCTGGTCACCACCCCCGGCACGCCCGTGAGCCACCTGGCTACGCCCAGCACGCCATCCATACCAGCGGCAGCAGTAGCACCTTCTACCACTGGCGGAACACCCTCAGGGAAGCCCTCCGATGCCCCCGCAGCCCCGGAGTCCGCCGCGGACTCGGGAGTGGAAGAGGTGGACACCAGAAGTTCAAGCGACCATCACCTGGAGACCACAAGCACCATCTCCACGGTCTCCAGCATGTCTACGTTGTCCTCAGAGAGCGGGGAGCCCACCGACACGTACACTTCCTTTGCGGATGGACAAACTTTTATACTCGAGAAGCCACCAGTGCCTCCAAAGCCAAAACTCAAGTCCCAGCTCAGCAAGGGGCCAGTTACTTTCAGGGACCCACTTTTGAAGCAGTCTTCGGACAGCGAGCTCATCTCCCAGCAACATGCGGCCACGCTGGCGTCCGCCAGCATCGGCCGGCCACGCTACCTCTTTCAGAGAAGGTCCAAGCTATGGGGGGACCCCATGGAGAGCAGGCCCATCCATGGGGCTGACGATGACAAGCCAACTGTGATCAGTGAGCTAAGTTCCCGACTCCAGCAGCTGAACAAGGATACGCGGTCGCTGGGGGAGGAACCGGCCGGGTCCACCTTAGATCCCGGGAAGAAGTCGCCGGTGGTCGCGGCACGGTAAGGGACGGGCGCGGGGGCGCGGGGGGGAGGAGGACGGGCTGTGTGGGGAGTGTGACTGTGCTGAGTTTTGAGGGGCGTTTTGAGGCAGGAGCTCGGAGCCAGGAGCTTCCCGGGAGCTTCCCCGGAGCCGTGGGATCGGCACGTGGCGGGTCGCTGTCGCTTTCCCCTCCCTCCCGTCGCTCCGTGTCCCCCCTGTCTGGCGCTGTCGTGACGCTGCTGTGCCGAGTCCTGGGTTTCACCCTCCGTGTTTGCTCCTGAGCGACCGGCAGCGAACGTGTGTTTCTCTAGCGCTTCTCGTTCCAAAAGGATCTCCAGATGTTGTCCCGTGTCGGAGCCGTGGGCGGTCCCTGCCGGGCAGGGGGGTCACCAGGGTGATCTGTGGCATCCCCCAGACAGGACACAGCAGCACCAGCCTGACCTGTGCCCACTGAGCCCCCATTCCTGCCTCACCCACCCAGCCCTGAACCCAAACTAGTCTAAAAACCTCTGAACTGGAGTCCGAGACTTGAGCACAAACCCTGATAAAGCTTTGAAATAGCAAGTTACAGCAGGAGGTGACCCAGAACCTCCAGTGTCACACTGCCCTTTGAGGTGCAGCCCCACAACACCTTCCAGAGCACAGAGCCACCCTGAGCAGTGACACTGGTGTCACCCAGAGGCTGCCGGGGGCCCGGTGAGGTACGGGGAGCTCCGGCTGAGGGGCAGCCCTTCCCTTGGAAAGGCTCTTCCCACCAAACCTCCACGTGGTGCTGGCACGGCAGGTGACGTTCCAGGCTGTGGTGTGAGGGACCAAGTGTCCCCACGTGTCCCAGGAGAGCACGGGGGTGGCTCCAGCCTCCCTCTCCCTGCAGTGCCCTCGGCAGTGCCATCCTGCTGGCACCACCTCGGGGGTACCAAACTGGGGCTGCTGGAACTGGGGGTCTCACCCACCTGGCAGGTACCTGCACCCCTTGTGTGTGACACCACATTCGTGTCCCACCCGGGGTCCCTCTCCCTGCCCTGCTCAGGTCCTGTGCCAGATGCCTTTGGGGACCCTCTGGAATCGGGCCCCTCCACAGCTCAGTGCCAGCTGTGCCCCCCTCCAGTGGCGCTGGAAGATCTGGGGGCTCACAGGTTTCAACAGCAGCTCCAGCTGTGCATCCCTGCCAGGCATCCGCCCTTTGGGGGAAGGGGAGCCCTTCCCTTGGGAAGGCTCTTCCAAAAGGCTCTTCCAGCCAAACCACCACGGCCTCTGGTGATCCCTGCACGTGGTGCTGGCACCGCTGGGGGGGCCGTTTTGGGGCCCCCTGACCCCTCTCACTGGCTCTGGTGAAGGGGCTGCGAGTCCTCTGTCTCCCAGTGACTGCAGGTGGGAACATATCCCTGTCCCCATCCCTTCCCTGGCCTCCCCATCCGTGTCTGTCTGACCTCCTGATCCCCCCCACAGCAGGTACCTCAGTTTCCAGGAGCTTCCCTTCTCCATCCTCTGCTTCTCTTCAACCCCCCCTCCTGCCCTCCACCACTGCGTCCCTGTGATCCCTGTGCTTCCCATGGCACTGCCGACACCCCAGGAGCAGCAGCAGAGCCCCTGGAGCCCCCCCTCCCTCCTCGCTCCAAACCCCCTCCCACCACCAGTGTCTGGCCCTTCCAGCTATCCCACAGAGTTAAACATTCCCATTCCTTTTCCCAGAGCCACAGCCTTTCATCTCTGAAATTTTCATGCTCCCAGTTGGTGGCAAAGACTTGAAATATTTCCCAGGAAGTGGGCTGTAAATAGAATATTTAATGATGTCAGTCCCTCTCCCGCATTGTCCAAGTTCCTCTCTTTTATGGAATTGCTGTAAATTCAGGAAGTAATGGAAGGAGCAGTTAGGTAAGAGTGGGATGACCCAGTTCAGGACACAGTTTCCAGGCCCTGGAATTGTCTGGACAAGGACAGGGTCACCTAAACCTCCCCCAAGAGCTACCTGGAGCCAGAGGTGTCCTGGAATCCCACTGGGAACAGGGACAATGAGGTGTCCTCGTGTCCCACAGGATGTGGGAATAATGAGGTGTCCTGTAGTCTGGGAATGGGGACACTGAGGTGACCTGGAGTCCCTCAGGGATGGGGACAGGGATGCATCCTGGAATCCCACAGGAATGGGTCAGTGAGGTGTCCCAGAGTCCCACAGGGAACAGGGATACTGGGGTGTCCTGGGGTCCCACAGGGATGGGTGGGGACACCGAGGTGTCCTGGAGTCTCATAGGGAGTGGGAAAGGTGAGGTGTCCAAGAGTCCCACAGGGGATGGGGACAGGGAATGGGAACAGTGAGGTGTCCCGGAGTCCCTCAGGGGATGGGAACAGTGAGGTGTCCTGGAGTCCCTCAGGAGATGGGGGCTGTGAAGTATCCTGGAGTCCTAAAGGGGGCAGGGAATTTCTTCCTGCCCTAATTCTGAATTTACAGCAGTTCCATCCAAGGGCAGGGATTTCTCTGCTCCAGATCAGGCCCTGGAGCATTTTTTTCCCTCTCAGAGCTCTCGGGGGTCCTGCCTGGGCAGCCCAGGATGAGAAGACACAATCCACAACTTTCTCCATAGCTCTAACTCTGGCTCTGTCTCCTTCCAAGACGGGCTCCCACGGAAGGACGTTTGACCAGAGGGACTGAGAAAGAGGCCAAGAAAGACTGAGAATGGGAACGTGAGGTCAGAGTTGAGGAACTGATGGAGGCAGTTCTGATTCCATCCCCCCACCCGGGACCGGGACAAGGCACATCTGTGTGCCCAGGCTGAGAGGGGCTCACCTGGCACAGCTCCTACATGGTCCTCACCGGTGGTGACGGTGACAGCGGAGCGGAGGGACAACTTCCTTTCGTCCTGTCCTTGGGAACGAGGGATGGCTCCCTGTGGGGGGACACACACGGACTCAGCTCTGCTGGGAGCTGCCCTGGCAGTTGGGAGGCCAACAGCACCTTCTTCCTGTTTAACGTGGAATCACAGAGTCACTGAGGTTGAAAAAACCCTCTGAGCCCACCAGATCCCATCCAGCACTGCCAAGGCCACCACTGCCCCATGTCCCCAGGTGTCACATCCAGCACAGCTTTGAAATCCCTCTGGAGGTGGGAACTCCCCCCCTCCCTGCCCTGGGCAGCCCATTCCAGTGCTTTACAATCCTTCGGGGGAAGGAATTCCCCCAATATCCAACCTGCCCCTCCCCTGGCACAGCTTGAGGCCGTTTCCCCTTGTCCTGTCCCTGTTCCCTGGGAGCAGAGCCCGACCCCCCCCCGGCTCCCCCCTCCTGGCAGGGACTTGCAGAGCAGTGATGGATCCTGGAAGATCCAGCCTGCTGAGCTGTGGGAGAGGGATGAGGTGTCCCAGTGTCTGTGGCTGCTCTGGAGCTGATCCTGAGCAATGAGAGCTGATCCCGGGCAGTGGGAACTGATCCCAGGAATGGGAGTTGATCCTGGGCAGTGGGAGCCAATCCCAGGAATGGGAGCTGATCCCAAGCAGCGGGAGCGGCGCGAGGCCCCCGCAGCGCAGCGGGCTGGTTGTGTGACACCCGTGTCCCCAATAAAGCTGACGCTGACGACCGAGCGGTGTGTGCGTGTGCTTGGGGGACCCGCTGAGTCCCAGCCCGGGTGACTCCACGTGCCAGGTGACATCCCCGTGCCATGTCCCCCCCCCCCCCCCCCCGCTCCTCCCCGTCCTGTGCCCGGCCGTGCCCATCCAGGCTCCTGTCATCCCTCACCCCGTACAGTCCCATGGGATCTGCCCCTCCCAGTGACTCCCCCGGAGCATCCCGAGTGTCCCGGGGCTGTCTGGGGGGCTCCCGAGCCGGGTCAGGGGGTGCTTTGCCGAGGGGTCGTGTGTGTGTGTGTGTGTGTGTGTGTTTGCTCGTTTGCTTGTCTGTTTATCTTTAAGCGACAGCCCAACACGCCCAAAAGTGTCACGTGAAGCAGAATTTGAGCTGCCAAACGGAGCGTTTCAGGTGCTGTTCTGCAAACCCACCACTTGCTTTGTATCTCTACAGATCTGAGAGAGAGAGAGAAGAAAAATAAGCCCTTGGGGGCATTTAGTTCCCAGGGTAAAGCTGCCTCTTTTTCCTCAACTCCTCAATTAATTCTGTTTCAGTGAACTGGTGTAACATCCCTGGCACAAGCTTTGAGCCGCTGCAGATACAACCCCCTGTTTCCTTGTAGGCTTCGGGTGTTTCCTGGTGGCCAAATTCCTGCGGGAAGCAGAGCTCTGCTCCAAAAGTCCAGGGAACTGGCCGTGGAGAGCAGATGGAAGGGATTGGAATCACTGAAGGCAGTGGAGAGACGTGCACACAACACCTTACCGGAGGGAGGGTGGGAATATTGGGGGGGATTTTGTGTGGCAGTGAGGTTTGGAGAGGAGGTGGCCCCACGTGGGAAGGAGATGGTCAGGTTTGGATGGGACAGAGCCGAGTTTGAGGGTTGAAGAGGAGGAGGTGGCCAGATTTGGAGAGGAGGTGGGCAAGTTTGGGGAGGAGGTTTGGACAGGTTTGGAAGGAGGAGGCCAGGTTTGGAAGGAGGTGGGCAGATTTTGGAAGGAGGTGGGCAGATTTTGGAAGGAGGTGGGCAGGTTGGAGGAGGAGGAGGTGGGCAGGTCGGAGGAGGAGGTACCCACCCTTGGCACGGCTCCATCCCGCTTCCTGCCGCTGCCACCGAGCCTGGAGATGCTCAGTCCACCTCCACAGGTGCCTAAAAACATCCATGGCTCCGTGGATTCCTCTTCCCAGGAGAGGAGGTTCCTGCAGGGAGGACATGCTGGTGGGGCCCAGGCCTCGCAGGGGGGGCTCAGGGAGGCAGGAGCTCACTCAGGGAGCCGTTGCTCTTCCCTCCAGGTTGCCATGGCGTTTTCCCAGCATTCTCCAAGGATGTCAGGCTGAGGGTGGGGAGCTTTTCCATCAGCAGGGCCGTAGGGAGCACAGGGAGGAGCTGTTGCAGGTTGGGCAGTGGAAAAGCCGGAGTTTTTGGGGGGGCTGCGATCGAGGGAGCACCCCCAGACCATGATCCCAG